CCAAAGTCAGCCTGACAGCTCTGCTGGCCAGGTTTCTAAATGTTCCCGAGCAGTAGCCATAGCAGCCCATCAGAGAGGGGAGGAGGCGATCCTGCCAGGGGCCCAGTGTGGTCTGATGATCCTGGAGCTTAATGCTTAAGGAACAGGTGCCCGGGTGTAGGCTGGAAGATTCAAGTGAGTTCCTTCAAAGTTCTGGCCCAAAGGGGCCACAAACTCTCAAGAGTGCAGACCTGGTCCTCTGACTATAAATTTCTCCACCCAGCCTGAAAGCAGCCTCTCATCATCCACACAGCCCAGCGAAAACTTCATGCTGTTGGCGGCCGAGCAGACCAGTGACAGTTTCTCAAATATCTCAGGAAGACCCCAGCTCACAGCAGACAGGTGGGTCCTCCAGGCAAGCACCTGCAACATCCTTTCCTGCGGCACTGAGCCGTGGGTGGGGTCAGTGACACCCTCCGCCAAACTAGCTCAGTTCCATCTTTTTATTCTAGACAATTATGCGTACAGCTTCTCCCCTCGGTTTTATGATAGGCCTGTCCTTGAAAACAGGGTCTGTGGCTGATTGGTCTGAATATTTCCTAGGCAAACTGCAGTGCTTTCATAGACAGTGCTCAATAAAAGGAATGAAGGATGAGTAAATTAATTCAAAGAAGGGTAAGCTAATAAAGCAGGCTCAGGGAGTTAGATATTGACTATCTCCAGTCCCAGCTCACCAGGGTCCCCTGGGTGAGACAATTCTGAATTCTCTTTACCTCACTTATCTGTTCTGTAAAATGGACAGAATAGACAGTAACCCAAAGCGGAAATGGCTCCAACACCATTTGCTAAGTAATTGTATGGGACTCTGTGCAATAAGTGATGGAAAACAAAAGCAAATCATGCAACCAATACGTTGAACAAGTACAAATTGAAGGATATCATCAAAATGTAAATTTATTTTTGTCTTCCCTTTATATTTTTTTCGGTGGGAGAAGCTTTCTTCTTGCCCTGAGGTAAAAGCTGGTTCTCTGACAGGCCCCATAAGCATATGGGCTTCCCCTTAAAATATGAAAGATCCTTTCGTCCCTTTAAATTGCAAAAGCAGCATCAATTCTGAAATTAAAATGACTGGTGCCTGATAATTATCAAAACTCTGAACTGTTCACAGCTTCCCTCAACCTGGCCTCGTGTTCAGATGGTCCTCCGTAGTGGGGACTGGGTTGTCACTCCTCTTGTTCTGTTTCCTAATTTTAAAGCTCACTTCTTTTTCTCTTATGAGCTTTCTTGGGTTCTTTGGAGTCCCATACCTGACACCCCCCACCCCCACCCCCACCCCTCACTGCAACTCTGGTGATGCTCCGACGTCTTCCTTTTTTTTTTTTTTTTTAAGATTTTATTTATTTGAGAGAGAGAGAATGAGAGAGAGAGAAAGCACATAAGGGGGGGGAGGGCCAGAGGGAGAAGCAGGTTCCCTGCCGAGCAGGGATCCTGATGCGGGACTCGATCCAGGGACTCCAGGATCATGACCTGAGCCGAAGGCAGTCGCTTAACCAACTGAGCCACCCAGGCACCCCCGACGTCTTCCCTTCATCTGGCCACCACCCCCCTCAGGCTCTGGCTCTGAGGGCATCCACGCCACCCAGGCACTAGCTGTGATTGCCCTTTAAGGGAGTCCTCTTGGGCAGGGCTTATTTTAAAGCTAAAAACAGGAGAGAGCAAAACAGCCCCCCCCCATCATAAAAAGTACTAGGCCATAAACACTTCACAAAAACGACACAAGAGGGAGCTCTAGAGACCAAACCAGAAAGCTACCTTGACCTACCCTCATTCCGGAAAGTTCAGGAAAAATCGTTTCACATTAAAAAGAACCGTCCGAAAAGGATAGTAATCAAACCCCCACGCAAAATTATATAAGGAAAAAAGGAGTATATGAAGCATGGTAAAAGCTTACAACAGAAACACACTAAAAAGACATGCCTTGCAAAAGCAAATGAAAACTACAACCCATCATTTCAGAATGAGCTGAAAGAAATTAAGAAAGTGATAGAATATATGAAAGAACAACACAACTCAGAATTTAAAAGATTTATAAATGTGGTGATAAAATTGAGGAAAGAATCAGACATTTTTAAAGAAATGATTACTTCCAAAACGAAGCCTAAACCAGAGAGAATACAAGAACAAAGAAAGCAGATAATGCCTTCAGAGAAATGAAAGGATAAAGGGAGAGCTTAAAGAAAGAAAATAAGCGTGTGTCTCACTTAGAATAAAAATTTTAAGAAATTTAGCTACACTCTGTGTTTTTCTAAACACACTAAGTGGCTGTGACTTTTTGTTAAGTTATTACTGTTTTGGAGAACTGTCTTAAGGTTTTCTTTAGCTTTCTGCTGCTGCCCAGCAGGTTATAGTGGGCCTCAGGCCAATCCCAGTGGGCTCAGATCTTGCCTTTGAGTCTTACTTAACACATGAGGTTCTCAACACATAAAAGCGACACTTAAGGTTTGGAGGGGAGTCTGTTCCAGTCCAGCAGAGGAGGCCTTAGCTTGAGCCTCCCTCCTGCTTGGCTTTCTCTGCTCCAGTCACTCTTGATACAACCCACCACATACACATGTTGTCACTGGCCATCATTACCACGTTCCCATCTATGCTGAAGGCACCTGTACTGGAAAAGACATAATTTAAAAAGAGTTTTTAAATTCTTAACAATGCTTTCTTTTTCTTTTATTGCTTGCAATGACCCCCAAATTCCTGGGCTCCAACAGTAACAGCAACATTGCCATCAAAATAGACAATTTGGACAGCTACAAGATACCCTCCCCAGTGGCATCTCCAGTCAACTTGAATATGCCCATGAGAGCCGCCTTGAGCCACAGCCTCTGGGAACAAGAGAATCCAGATGAGCACTTCCTGCAAGCTCCTGTTGCCAGTTCCCTAGGAGAGAACCTTTTGGGACCCTGACACCTAGCCCAAACAGAGTGATCTTCCCTAGCTTCATTCCGTGAACTTGCCACAACCTCCTATAATGTTGTTTTCCCACTGTGGGCCAAAGACCATGGGAGAGGTATGATGGTGTTTATAACAAAGTGCTTCTGTACTTCCACCAATAAACCTCCAAGTGAGTTCCTAATTGTTATAGGTTGTGCTCTGTGGGGCTTCCAGCTGGAGATGGACTAATTAGGAGCAGGAGCTCACCCCTTAGGGAAGTAAGTGGGGTAAATGTTCTGTCTACTCCTTTGAAACCCCAAAGCAGCCAAGAAAGCCCAGAAATCCAGTCCAGAGGAAACAGCCAGGGCAGAAACCCAAGGTCCTCTTTCAGAGGGGTGGGGGGAACCAGAGGCAGGACTGCTACCAGCCCAAAGGGAAAGGAATCTTGAGAACGATGCTGACCAACTGGGAGACAACTTTGTGTGGCCCCACTTACCTCAAGCAGGAAATTGAGTCTTTACCACCCCAATCCCATGTTCGAGTAAAGCTGTGAAGGCTCGCCCTGGGCCATGCAAACCTTGGTTGCTAATAAAGACATGGCTTCTGGTAAGGATGACGATGACCACCTGTCACTGGAAGGCCTACTTGACTTGACTCTTCCCACCCTGGACGTAATGAAAGCAACCTGGAAGACACAGTAACTCTGTGTGCATATGAGGGGGGAAGCGGGAGCGTGGGCCAGCCTCTGGACCAATTACTTGAAAAATACTACCACAATATGCAGGAACTATTTATTAGGTTCCTGCTAAGGGTCAGACACTGCGCAGGATGCTGGGTAAATTCGAGAGAGGGAGAGAGACAGGTAACCTGCCTTGAGGGAGGATGTGGGAGAGATACTGAGCCCTATTCTGGAGACACAAGAAAGCCATGAAGGTTGACATGGTGTTTGAACCACGGGTCTACAAATCAAGACTGGAAGCCCTTCTTTCCTAGAGTTCACATGAGAGGAAATAGAGTGACAGAGAGAGGAAGAACATGGCCGTCCTCCCCTTGTGCACACTCAGGTGGGCTGAGCGCTAAATCCTGGCCCGACCGGGTCAGAAATGACATGAGCTGAGAGGATGCTTGATGATTGTGGGTTTCTTCTTGTCTCCAGTGAAAATTAAAACAAAACACATTTCCTTCCAGCCTGTTACAGTCAAGCTGAGTATTGCTGGTGCTGGTGAGGGACATCGAGTAGCAGAACTTAAGAGACTGATGTGCAGGGTGACCTTCCTTGCTTCCCAATTTATGCCTGTGGTCCTAGGATCATTATCAATATGTACCCACGCCATTCTCAAAGTGTCCCTGCATGAATGGCCAACCACTCGACTGATAGGCGTGTTTACAAACATTTAGGGGATCGCCCACCCTCACTTCTATTGCCTTGGTTTACGACTCCATCCGCTCTCACCTAGATTACCGTAATAACCCCAGCTGACCTCCCAAGCTCTCATCATTGTAACAATAGCAGCTAACTTCATTAGCAACTTACCATGTGCCAAACCCTATGCTGAGTCCTTACAAAGATCGCTTAATCCATACAACTCACTGGGAGGAGATCCTCTTGCTAGCACATTTATGTGAACGTGAGCCACACAGAGGTTCACCTAGCCCAGAGTGATCTTCCCTAGCAGCAGGGCCAGGACCTGAACCCAGTCTAACTCCAAAGTCCGATGGCTCTCTGATTTCGTTCCAATCCATTTCCCTTCTGCACTGCTAAAGAACAATCTTTCTGAAATACAAATCTGACTATACAGCTTCACCCTTGATAAAAACCAAACTCTTTGATAGGAAATGACCAGGCCTATTTCTCCAGCCACTCCACTTTCCAGAGGCTGCTGCCCTCGCGCCTCATGTACCCACCACACCAAACGCCCCATGCGCTTCCGCTTCCGTACTGCAAGGGTGTGGCACGTCCTTCACTCCACTGACGTCTCCTTCCTTGCGCGTCTACCTGTTGCTCTCGCGATACTTGTCCTGCCCGCGGGAGCTCTGTGCTGCTGTTTACCTTGCGTGTGCTTGTTTCGAACCTTTCTCACGCCGTAACAGTTGTTTACGTGTCCATTGCCTTGGTGGGAGTAGGAGCTCTCGAAGAACAGATACTACTTTGTATTAGAGTTCTTTACCCAAAAAAGGAGCTGACTCTATAATTTAAACCAAAGGGAATTTATTGGAAGGGTCGGAGTTAGCTCACAGACTCAACGGACAGCTGAAGAGTGGAGGCCGAGCCAGAGCTGAATGTGTGGACGTCAGAAGAGCTTCGTGGATTCAGGTAAGGGTGGCTAATCAAACATCTCATCCTATGCTGTAGCAGGCTGGGAGGTTCCTCAAGGGAAATGGAGGGGTGCCACAAAAGAACGGCTAGGAGAACGGATGTCTGGTGGCTGATAATAACAAATGTCCACCACAATGTGACTCTTTGCTCTCTGTTCAGAGAGGCGCTCTGTCACGGGCCTCAGGCATCTCCGCACATCTTGCTAAGTAAGCCAGATTTCAAGGCCCAAGTGGGTAGTTTTGCTCACTTGCATGTTTCAGGAGAGGGATGAAGAGTTTAGACAGATTGCCTTATACTTTGTGTGTTCCTTTGAAACAGTTTTTTACTCAACAGTGTCTGAAGGATTCCATTCTGATGGGCAAACTATACAGTAGCATTTGGGGTCCCCTGTCGGTGTTAACTCAGAGTCAGTAGCCCATGGTCCCTGAAAGTTTCTGCATTTCCCTTTTAGGAGGGCATAGTATCACTGTAAATGGCCTAAGGTCTCTCTGGGGATGCCTAGGAGGAACGCTCACAGTAGGCGGTTTAAGGTGCTTGTAATAGGGTCCCTGGTTAGGGATCCCAGCCTTCCCTTCATTCAAGGAGCTGGGGTGTGAGCACCGGGTGAGGACTGAGGAGTGTGGGCGGCCCTGCTTCTCTAAATGTATCCATTAGAGCCGGCTTTCATTTAATGATACAAATGACCTGAGTCATTGTCTCTCCATTTTATTCCTAGAGACCCTAACTCAGTTCTGATCTTTTAGTTGTCAACAGCCAACTCTCACTAGTTCAAGCATAAAAGGAACGGCTCAAAGGATATCCAGTAGCAGGAAAGGCGAGAGAGAAATGGCTTGAAGTCTTACACAGCCCGGACAAGAAGCAACAGCCCAGCCAGGCAGCAGGACCGCTCCAGCAAAGACCCCGTGCCCCACTGTTGCACGCACACTTAAGCTCCCACCAGTGGCCCTGACCTGGAGTCTGTCGTCCCGGCCTTCTAAAACCAGATGCTTCTACTGCTACCTGCCCCGCCTGGAGAAACATCTCTACGCAGCACTAGCTTCCTTACGTTGCTCACACCCAAGTCAAGGTCTCATGCAGGTGAGTCCGCTTGGCAGAATTCAGCTTACAGGATGCACGTGAGCTGAAAGGGAGGCTGAGAAAGTAAGGTCTGGCTTCTTGAGGAGGTGAAACTCACGATGTGTAAATCCCCAAAAAGAAGTACAGGCAGCCAGAAGGCATGAAAAATGTCCCCAAATACCCTTGATTAATTAACTACGGACACAGAATCTTGAAAGCTCAAACCATTCTCAGCTCTGATTATCATGCGTAACTATGCTTCTGGTCCTTGAGTGCCCCGAGAATTCTCTTTTTTTCCAGAGATTACAGAGCACATTCACTGGCTTAAAGAGAGCCTCTTAAACATTCTAGTGCTTTCTCAAAACCTTGGAGAGATGTGCAAGTATTCAGGACCTTCTAAAGGGGCAGTGTCAGGCAAGGGCAACAGTAGGTACTTGATGGATCCAAGTGAACTTTCTTGTCTCCCAAAGGCTTTGAATTCCTTTTTCTACATCGCTTCAAGGAATTTCTGGCCACTCATTGTTCTCTAATGTGAACCAGGTTGAATCCAGCTTTGCTGCAGCCAACACAGCAAACTGTAAGAAATATACAGCACTATGAGAAATAGCACAATTATGATGTAATCTCTGGTGAGAGCATCCACATCAGTAAAACCAGCCCTCTCTAAAAGTATGCTCTCCCTTCTTGGTGGAGTGCCTTAAAAGTTATTCTTACCAGTATTCGCAGACTTTACAGACAGAAATTGCCCAATTCCTTCAATATGTTTTCCTGGGCTAATACTTTCCTATGCAGATTCCCATACTTAACCTACTCACACCTGCTGGGGCATCGTGGCAGTGAATTCCGGTTACTGGCCTAGTAACACGGAGGGGAATGTTCAGCACCCTCCTGCAAGGAGGGAAAGGCTTCCTCTCCCATGGGATGGGCAGTGGGGAGTGTTCAGAAGGACCCGAGGGGTTGGGTCTTTAGGGTCTTCTCTGCTATCCCTGTTGCAGTTGATGGAATCTCTCCTGTTGCATTGTGCCTCTTTTACACAAGAGACTGGATGGAAGCTGTGACCTCGACAGCCTTCGTAATTCAATAACCGAGACCCAAATCTCAATGTTTTAATTTTTGTTTTGGGTTTTTTTTTTTTAAGATTTTATTTATTTATTTGACAGAGAGAGAGCACAAGCAGGGGGAGCTGCAGGCAGAGGGAGAGGGAGAGGCAGGCTCCCCGCTGAGCAGGGAGCCCGATGCGGGCTCGATCCCGGGACCCTGCGATCGTGACCTGAGCCGGAGGCAGACGCTTAATGACTGAGCCACCCAGGTGCCCCTGACTTTTGTTCTTTTTAAGTTATTCAGTGTCATCAGAAGCACTCATTTTTTTAATTAAGATTTTATTTATTTATAAGAGAGAGAGAGAGAGCATGATTGTTGGGGGGGGGGGCAGAGAGAGAAGCCAACTCTCCACTGAGCAGGGAGTCCGGGATGCAGGACTCAATTCCAGGACCCCGGGATCATGACCTGAGCAGAACCGACTGAGCCACCCAGGTGCCCCGAAGCCCCCGTTGTGCTCCAGTGTCCTGGAATTCATTCCCTTTATATTGTCAAAGGCAGCAAGCACACCTAGTTGCAGCAGATACCCTCTGTCATCGAATGGTCCTAATTACCACCGGCTGGTCATTTCATGAGCCGTGGACCACTGACAGTCAAGTTCTCACCCCAGTATATGGATGGAATCTTGCTGCATTCGATGCCATCTTGTTGCGGTAATAAACTCCTTGGAAACCTATAACCTGCAATCCCCTCTCTGGTACCAATCTGTATGTTGGAGTTCTTCAGGTGCAAGCAACAGGGATGACACTGAAGCATAAAGAGCTTGGGTTGTGTGTCCTTCTGTCCGCTTGAGAACGGCTTGCAGAATCAGAGAGGCCATTGAAGAAATGGGGAAGGCTGGAAGGGGCAGACCCAGGGCGGCGCCCAGGGCTTGGATTTAATCTACACTCTGGGACGCTCGCTGGCATGAATAAATGCCTGCCATATTCTCTGTCCTTGTGTTTATCCATTTTACACTCAATGTCCCTGGAATCCTAGCTTGGGCCTTGGGCCTCCGTGTGCCGGTCATCTTCCCTTCTCCCTCCAAATCCACTCCTCCTTTCTCCCTGTTCCCCAGGACCCAGAACTCATCTGGTTCCTGCCTCTCCTCCAAGCTGATCCGTCTGGGCTCCGTCGGAGGGCCCATTGCCTCTGGAGTCCAGGTGGGTTTGGCCAGTGGGAAGTCCAGGTAGGAGATCAGAAGGAGAGAGGAGAATGGGGTGAAGACAGTGACTCCTTCCCCTGTGGTCACAGATGGTGTGATGTAGGAAAGATGTTAGGGTTTGGAGCTGACGGTCAAGAAAGAATTCTTGAGACAATTTTGGTGCAAAAGGGTGGTGGTATTAAAGCCTAGGGACAGGACCCGTGGGCAGAAAGAGCTGCACTGGGGTCCCGAGGAGCGGCCCATTTTATACTCTCGGGTTGGGAGGGGTTCAGGGTAGCCTGAGTCTCTGAGGAATTTGGAAGCAAGAGTTCCAGGACCTTGAGGAGGCTAGCTCTTGTTGGGAAAAGGTCATTCGTTACCATCTAATAAAACCTTAGTCATGAGACCCTTCAGATGTATGTCAGTGGGCCATATGCTTGGGGGATGATGGCCAACATGTATCTTGGAAGGTAGAGATAAAGGAAGTTTCCAAAGGAACTTTTACATGTTAAAATAGAGTCACAGGATCTTGATGGTCGGGCTAAGATTGACTTTTGCCCTTAGCAGAGTACTTACATGGAAGCAGCTGAGTCCCTAGAGGAATGTCACTCTGCCTGTTTCAAGGACTTGTCGGTGGGCTATATAGGTAGTAAGGAAATTTAATTTTTCTTTTGCCTTTGTTTCCCACATCAAGGTGGGCTGTGTCCCTGAACAGAAAGAAACTGCTTGGTTCCTGGGGCCTCTTCTACTCAACGCTTCCCTAGTTCCAGAACCGCTCCCTCTGCTGACTCTTCAGGTCCCTTGTAAGGACTTAGCTGAATTCTCTACACTGGGCAGGAATATCATCCCCCTTACTCCTGAAGTTCCCTCTTGGTACGTTTCCGTCCACGGACCCTCACCCTGTTCGGAGCCATGACCAGGCGCCCTGGCTACATGCCCCGCACTGGGCTTTCTTCCAGTCTGTTGCTTCTCTTCTGGCTCCTGCCTGTCCCCCAAGCCTGGTTCCCTTGACTTCCGTGTTTGGCAAAGACCTGCCAATAGTTCTCCGATGAATTCCCTGTGGCTTAGGTTGACCTGTCAGTTTCTGTGCCTACAACCATGAAGTCTAACTGATGTGGTGCTGTTCCCAGAAAAGTGCATGCTGGGTAGGCAAATACACCAGCCATCCGTACCTTAGCCATTTGTGTATCCTCCAGTGCCTGCTGCCTGCTAGACACCTAAGTAAAGGGTGTTAAATAAACCCATTTCTGCCACAGCCAGCGCTGGAGCCCCACAGTGTCCTTCCCAACCCCCCCACACCTCCCAGCACGGAAGAAACTATGGCCTTTGCTGAATGGACTCACCATTAAAACTGATGTCTCAGAAACTCTTTCTTTCTTTCTTTTTTTTTTTTTTTCAGAAACTATTTCTTAGGTGAAAATCACACCACATAAGGGATTAGTAAAGCTTCTGATAGCCAATAAACACACAATTTAAAAGAGAAAAGAAACAAAACATTGTGATCCAGAGTCAATTAGAGCCCACCAGGATAGAGTATCTGCGAAGAAAGCAATTGCCAAAGCAATAAGAATGCATCTTAAAGTTTCAGAAATGGAATTCAGAGAAAATGTCCTCAAGGAATAATACCAAGACAGACCCACTTGAAATGTGCGATGGACTGAGATGAAAGCCTCACAAATGCCCTTATAAATCTTAAGAAAACTAACAAACGGCTGGTCAGTTAAGACTCTAGTGTTATTGGGCGCCTGGGTGGCTCGGTCGGTTGAGCGTCTGCCTTCGGCTCAGGTCATGATCCCGGACTGAACCCCACATGGGCTCCCTGCTCGGCGGGGCATCTGCTTCTCCCCCTGCCCTTCACCCCTCACGTGCGCGCGCTGTCCCTGCCTCTCAAATACATAAATTCTTAAAGGAAAAAAAAGACTCTAGTGTTATTGATGAGACAGCAGGTAGAGGAAGCAGAGATCCTGGGGACACGGGAAATGCAGAAATGAGTGGTCCTGACCTGCATCCTGAGGGTACCAAGGGATTCCCTGAAGAACTCTCAGAACCAAGGGCCTTTGATTTAGAAAACACAACAAAACACAGAGGTCTTATCTTCAGCAAGAATCCCCCTGACTCCATGGGGCGCCTGGGTGGCTCAGTCGTTAAGCGTCTGCCTTCCGCTCAGGTCATGATCCCGGGGTCCTGGGATCGAGCCCTGCATCGGGCTCCCTGCTCAGCGGGGAGCCTGCTTCTCTCTCTCGCACACCCCCTGCTTGTGTTCCTGCTCTCGCTCGCTCGCTCTCTCTGTCAAATAAATAAATAAAATCTTAAAAAAAAAAAAATCCCCCTGACTCCTGAGATTTCCTCAGTAATTTTCCATTCCGAGGACCCACCCCGCCCTGCCCCTGGGCTATACATTCCCACTTGCCCCCAGCTGCATTGGGAGTTGAGCCCCAGGCCTCTCCCCGCTGCAAAATTCCATCACAATGGTCCCTCTACCGCTTGTGATAGCCTCCGCCTGTGCCACCCGAAACAATAAAGTCTTTCTTACCCTGTATAAAAATCAAACCAAAACAGAAAACAAAAAACCGGGAAGCCTACGATGGTTCAATATTGAGAAATCCACAAGACTATGGTTTCAAAACAGGGAAACAACAACTGGGAGTGGTAAAGCTTCATAAAACAAGCATTTAAAAATTAACGTTTAGAATTCTTAAGGCTAACTAAGGCCACTTACAGAAGCTATAACTTGAAACAGCCCAAAATAATCAATCTAGAGATGTTTTGAGAGGGGGCTGTTCTGGGTTTTGCTCTGTCTCTGACTCCTGCCTGACTTAGGATAAATTAATTTCCCCACCGGGGATGTGGATAATGTTTCCTTTTTAATTAACACTAAAAATTCTAATTATGCCCAAACAAAACACTGGTTTTGACTGTTAATAGTTGCAATAGGGAACATACCACGGGTCCGTGACATGCAAAGAAATAGCCACAGATGGTTTATTCTAAAATGGTTTTACAGCCCCCTGAAGTCTCAGTTAGGCACTTTGCCTTGCAAAAGAAGGAAAGGAATTTCTGTCACAACCATTCCCTCCCTTCACTGCCATTCAAGGGACATACCTAGATGCAAGAAGAATATGACAGCTAGTGGTATGAAATTATCACACACACGCCCTCAGAACGTTCCATCTGTAAATGCTTTGCATTTTTAAAAGTGTCTCCTCATCAGCAATCTAGTGTGATTCTCATAATTACATGAGATGGCTGCTATTATGAACTATACTTCACAGAGGAGAAAAGTAAAATCCAGAACAGCTTGGCAGGAGCTTCAGGCAGCTCGTGATTCTCAAAGTCCCGAGGGCAGGAGGACAATAGCCTCTGGGCCTCTCCTCACAGGCGTCCGTCCCCATCGTGCCCGTGCCGGTCAGCGTCCTCATGGAGACCTTTGGTTGCAGGCTCAGCGCAGCCTAGTTGCTAAGCCAAGGTGCCCGCCAGTCCCAAGACCTCGCTTGCTTTCGTACGTCTGTGTAGCAGAGCGGATAACTGCCACCAGGTGGCGCCCCACTGCGGCTGGGACTCCTGCGCTGGGGATTGGATCCGCAGCGCCCAGCCCCGTGGCTGGGCAGGCTAATCTCAAGCATTTCATTAACTTCACTGTAACACTCTTCCATCCCGATTGACTATTTGGGGCCCCACTTACCAATTTATAGTGGAGTTTTACTGTTTTCGAGTAGCCAATTCAATACACCTTTACAGGTCTTTTTTTTTTTTTTGTAATTTTTTTGTAACTACTGCATTCTGGGTACAAGTTTCTGATTATATTTCATTTCAACCTCTAATAGAGTCATGCACCAGCATTTATATATTGGAACATATATTATTTTACTATAGTTTTTTTCTTTTATATTATATCTAACTAGGCTAGCATATCGCCTTTAAAAGAATATATATAGGTAAGTTTTAATTGCTGAATTTTATTTCAGAATGGTAAAGGGGGAGTTACAATGTATTGGTCATGAAAAGGGGATTTGGGTGTGACAAGGTTGAGAAGCACTATATTGGAGCATTGACCTTTTCCTCAACATTGCCCTCCTGACTTTGATGATACTTTGACCGCAACATTTAGCCTACTTCACTCTCTCCACTTTTTTTTTTTTACTTCCACCTCACCCTGAAGCTGCTCCTCGAAGCTGCTTTGCTCTGCTGGTCCCACACCTTCTTATCCCTCAGGGGAGCAAGTCCCTGACAGCATCACTTGCGCCCCAGTACCGTCCCAGCCGTGCCATCACCCCCTCCTGAGGCTCTCTCCTGCCTCCTCCCCAGCCCCACAGCCACATCCTGCCTATTCGACCTCCACCCCAACTCACTTCTCATCTCCAGTTTCTTCTGGACTGTCTGTCCAGTGAGGAGGACCTGGGCTATGCTCTCTCCTGGCAGTGTTTAAAATGTCTTGTTCTCTAGTTGGAGGTATATCGTGTTCTCATGGGGTAATCTGTGTCAGTTGAGCCTGAAGATCTGAAAAACAGAGAGCCCAGCTGAGCTTTTCTGCTTCTGCTTAGGTAGTGCTGTGATCAACAGGGGCTTCTCCTCTTGCAGATTTTTCTCTTGCTTTCCCTGAGCTGATTACTCACTCCCTCAGGCTGCCTCCCTCCAATTCGGGGGGACAAAAAGGGGTAGGTGTGTGTAATTTGTGAGAACACACACAATTTTATTAACTAGCTTTCCTTCTCCGTTATCAGACCATACCCAGATTTTCTGTTCTATTTTTTGGCCACGACTTAACCTCTTGTTAGGTGGCTACTAGTTAGATTTGGGGCATTAAAAAAACTATTAATGTATTTACTGGATGTCAGAGGGAGTAATTCTGTGACCTGGCTTCTTTGCAGCGACTGCTGATTGTATACTGATAGCCTTCATCCTTAATTAATAAATAACAGAACCCCCCGATTCTAGGTGGGCTCGTGGCCGTCCAGCTAAAAGCTACATTTCCCAGCTTCCCTTGCACCTGGGTGTGGCCATGTGACTGAATTCCAGCCAATGGGATGTGAGCAAAAGTGATTATGCCATTTCTAGGTCATGCCCTTAAAAGGAATGAGTGTGCCCTCCTCTCCCTCCTTCCCCTTCTCACTGGCCAGTATGCAAATGTGATGGCAGGAGCTGCGGCAGCCACCTTTAACCCAGAGACAGATAGTGCCATATTGACAATGGCAGAGATACCCCACCAGCTCAGGACTGCCTATCTTTGGACTACTGTGTAAGAGCAAATCAAAATTCTATTTTAAGTCACTATATTTTGAGGTCTTTTGACTACCTACACTATAAGTAATTCATATAAGCCTCATGCCATTACCTTTACCCAGGAGCCTGAAGTTATTTGCACTTATTTGTGTTTTCTTATTTCAAATCGTATGTTCTGTGTCTTCCTTTTATAAAAATTAAACTGTTAGCTAGTAGTCTAATTTTTTTCCCAAGAACCAGCTTATGGATTTATTTATCCCAGTGTGCTTAGTATTTTAAGATTATTTTGGCTTCCTTTACACTTGAATGGATGTCGTTCAATGTAAATCCCATTTGTGGAATTATTGGGTCATATCCTTTCTCCTCAACATTCTTTCACATCATTCCATTGTCTCATGCCCATCTAAAGTTGCTGAAGTCTGAAAAAAGTCTCATTTTATTCCTTTGGTAGATTGTCTGCTTCTCCTACCTGGATATTTGTAGTAGGATGCTTTTGTTGTGCCTTAGGTTGAGGAACTTCACAAGAGCTATCCTGGTCTCAATGGTTTCTTTACTCAGTTTACCTGGAATAGAGTAAATCTGTTTGTGTGCCAGATTGGGTCTTCAGAAATGGCTTTTTCTTTTACGTGTTTAACTACCTTTTCAATTCCATTTGTTCCCTCTTCATCAGGAACTCTAGCTGTATGTTGGGTCAACATAAATGTCTCCCATAGCTCTCATTTTCTATCCATTCTCTTTGTCTCTTGCCCTTCTTTATTGTACTTTGTGTGATAGTCTCTGGCCTGCTAACCATGTCACTGACTCGGTTTGCTGTCATGTCACCTTGTGGCTTCTAATGTGACCGTCAGATACTGAGTGGATTTTTCTTCTTTTTTTTCCCCTTACCTCATCAGGTCCCCTTTTCATCTTATTTTGGTATCTCTGATTTTGTTTGTTTGCTTGCTTGTTTCATGAGAACTACAAGGTCCCCTGAGAGTACAGAGAGGATTCTTGTCAAGGACTTTATTCTATTTCCTGGAATCATTTTTCTTCAGATATATATTCTTTCCATGTATTTTCCTATGGACATTCTTTGGGAGAGAAGGGTAATATCTTACATAGATCCCATGGTAGCT